AACGCCGTAGCCCTAATGCACCCACTCTCACGCTGAATACGAGCGCGCTCAATGGTGAGAAGAAACGCAGCCCATTGACACCCAAGAGTCCGGTGTTGCCGCAGCCAGAGTCCAAAAGTCCCGGCAGCAGCTCACAGAAGACGCCCACCACGCTCTCCCGCCAAGGCACCCTGCGCACCTCCAGTCGACGCAAGAACAGCGGCCAGTTGACCATTTCGTTGAGTGCCCAAAATCAGGGCCGACGTAGTCCAGTGGGTCTGAATGATCGCAGCCCACAGGGCAGACGCAGCCCGCTCTTTCCCAGCAGCGGCCTGAAATCGCCCAATGAGCAGCCCAGTCCGACGGCGCGCAGTCCCACGGGTGATTCACAGCGTCGCAGTCCAACCTTCAGCATACAAATACATACGCAGGAGCGTCGCTCGCCACTAGGCGCTGTGGCACCCACGGACTTTAGTTGCCAGGCAGGGCCATCCAATACCAGGCGCAGTCCGACGTCCACCGTGCATGTGCAGGACATGGCCACAGAGCCGGAGGAGACGGGCTTCAGTGGAATGAAACGTCCCTCGATAAGTCTCTTTACGCCCATCTATTTTGCCAGCGAGAAACGTAGTCCGATGGGTCCCATACCACCAATTACGGTGTCCAATCCCGCCGAGACCTACAAGAGTGCGGAGCGCGAACGTGAAGCAGCCGAGGCGGCAGCACGGGAGCGGGAAAAGGAAGCTGCCCAGGCACAGCCGCAGCCCGAAAAGAAGAGCGTAATGCGCGAGATACTGGCCTTTGTGCGCAAGCCCTCCAAGCATATAACCACGCGCACCAATCGCTTCGCAAATGCATTCACGCGTGCCGAGTCCGGCTCCTCCAGCGGACCGCTCATACGGCAGAGCACCTTCTCGGCCAGTCCGGCTGCCTCGTCGACGGCCGCCAAGAGTGCCGTGCAGAAACAAATGTCCGAGGTGGGCTTTGAGCCGAAAATGTCGCTTAAGTTTGCCCACTACACGAAGATGTCGCTAAAGTTGCGTCGCCTGGCGCGTCGTGAGGAGGAGGAGAAGCAGCAGCAGCAACAGCAGCAGCAGCAAAAGTCATCGACAGTCAGCTCGGCGGCGGGCTCGAAGCGTGCCAGCACTGATTCCAATGCGGGCAATGCACAGGAGCAGGTAGGTGCCACTGAAGTAGAAGAGGAGCTGCCATTCGAGCTGGCGAATGTGCACTTTGAGAAGGTAGGTGAGTCCTATATCAAGCATGAGCGACTCCGCGAACTGGTCGAGCCCGAACTGGAGCCAGAAGAGGAGGCCGAAAATGGCGAGCCGGAGCAAGCGGATGCCGCCATGGCACAGTTTGTCGAGGAGGTGACCAATTCCCTCAAAGTGGTCGCACTCAATGGCGACGGTGGTGTGCCGGCCGTGCATCATTTTACGCGTCGCTCCGAGAGCCGGGAGCCCATTGAGCCGCGGATTAGCGAGGAGCGAGAATCCGATTCGAATGATCTGATTATACCCGAAGAGCTGCGCGCGGAGCTTGTGGAGATTTTGAAGGCCTATGCACCAGAGCCAGTTTATGTTAATCTGCAGGCGCTGCGGCGCGAAACCGAGGAGGCAGAGGCGGTGGCACGTGCCGTTGCAGAGGCAGCTGCTGCTGTGGCAGCGGCTGCTGAAGCTGCTGCAGCTGTTGCAGCTGCAACGTTGCCGCCGGCGCCCGAGAAGCTACCGCTGCAGTGTCCTACTATTGAGTTTGAGCCGCCATCGCGTCGTTCGTCTTTCGATCCGCCGCGTTCGCCGTTCCTGGAACAGCTACGCAGTCCGGGCGTCGATACGGACACAGATCTGATCAATCTGCAGCGCCTTGACTCCGGCGGCGACAGTTTCGAAATGGTTGAGGGCGATCGGAAGTCCAGTCGGGCTGAATCCAGTTTCGACTGCCCCTATTCCTCGCGTGACACCAGCTTCGATGTGTCCATATCGCGTTATCAGTCCACGAGTTACGAGGATCAGACCTCCAGCTTTGAGATCGTCGACACGGACGATCGCCGCCGACACATCGATCTGCGCAAGAGCTCCATTGAGCTGGTCGATGCGGAGACCTTTCATCGTTCGGGCTCTTCCTGCGGCCGCAAGTCTTCGCTTGAGACGCACTTCGACTACACGCCTTCGGAGACGAGCGGCATCACGCCGGCCCGCTCACCTAATTTTCCCATGACTAAGAAGCAGAAGGCCGAACATTTCCGCCAGCTGCACATCTCGCCCTTCAGTGCCTTCTCGCGGGCACGCAGCCCGCTCTCGCAGCAGACCTCCTCCAACTACAGCTCGCGCGATAGTTACGATTCCAGCTCATCGTATCCGCATGGTCATGAACCGCAGCGCAGCCCGTACGCTGATCCCAGCAAGAAGCACTTTCCGCTGACCATCAAGCAGCGCGAGGAGGAGGTCAAGACTTTTCTCTGCACCGATTTGCGCTGCGCCTCAATCTTCGAGCCGCGTCCCAGCTCTGTGCTCACACAGCAGCTCTCCACGGGCTCCATGTCCACGCCTTCAGCCTCTGGCTACACTAATGCACCACGCATATCTAGTGCTATGGGCGCCCCGTTGCCCGCAATTGGCGTTGGTGTTGGTGTCGGTGTCGGTGTCGGCGTCGGCGTCGGCGTCACTGTCGGTGTTGGCATTACCCATGCAAATGCCTCGCGTGGCTCCCGCGGCTTTTCCAGCGGCAGCGAATTCGAGCCGCCCTCACCTCGACGAGCCGCGAGCGCCTCACCGAAGCATACTTTCACATTCCGCATCGTGATGAAAAAGGTTGACAGCTCACCGGAGGCGCTGTGCCCGGAGCGGCATCGTTCCCGCATCATCGATCGCTATCGGCGCCGCGACAGTCGCCGAAAGCGCATCCAAGATGCGGGCAAGAGTTTCTAGGCGGCGGGTCGGGGGAACGAAGTGAACCAAAATGCTTAAAGTTTGTGTGCCTAGTTAATGGACGTACTTGCTAAGTTTTGAGTTAGAAATTTTGAAATCGTTTAATTAATTTAATTAAAGTTCGACTTCCAAACGAAGCGAACAACCCATTCCTATTGAATCCCAGGCAGCAATCTCTGTATGTCCGGCCAGAAGATATATTCATTCAGCAGGGCGTACATATTTTTGACAATCTAAGTGTTATTGAATCCAAGAGTTTTCCAAAAAGTATCTCTTATCAAATGGAAAAAACTCGCCTCTAGTCGTAAGTTATTCAAGAATCTTAAAAACTCAAAATGCGAACATCAAACTTTATAAAATGGTTCTGGTTTTAGGCCGTTTCAAAACTCTATGCTAAGTATTTGTAATGACAAAAGCCCTTGAATAAATCTTTATAAATATATATATAGGCTAAGACAGATCATTTTCATATTTAGGCTAGTTATTCTTCATTAATATCATCTTCAAGGATTAAAAGATTAAAAGAAAGTTTGGTTCAATGCTTGCAAGGTACAAATTAAAATTTACACAAGAAATTTCTTGCAAAAATAGAATGAAAAAAAGAGAAAAAGAAACACACAAAATATTCTAAAGATCTACAAAATATATGTGAAACAATAATTCCTCCCACGATTTACCTGATTACTAATTAAACAATAGAGAGAAGAACATCATATATATGATATATGATCTATACTTGCATTAAAGTTGATAACTAAATGTTGTAATGTTTGTGGTATATTATAAACAAATATTACGAGTATGTGCGCATTTTACGTGGTTCCTGTTATATAGATATATTATGTATTACAAATTTTTGATGGACTAGCTATATACATATATATATATAACTTATATTGTTAAAAGACAAAATGATCAATTCTATAAAGCTATTTAAGTGCTGCTATTGCAAGGGACAACGTTTATTATTTAAACTTAAGACTAAACAAACAAAATCTGAAAAAATTTAATTAAGCATAAATACTCTATGCTATATGCTCTATATACATATATGTATATGTTTAGGTACATTTAAAGCTGGGTTTGGGGCCGTACTTAAATCTTAAAAAAAAACTTGTGCCGAAAATTATTAGAATGAAAATAATGTATTTAAAAGAGCAACAAAACAAAAAATTATAATATTTCATGTTGTTCGAGCGGTTTTTTGGACTTCGTGTTTGTTTGTTTAAGAAGAAAAACTCTACATTTAAGCAATCTATGTGGTGTCTAAAAAAACACATTAGTTAATAACAATGATCAACTCTGTCAGCATAATTTTTAAAATAGTCAGAAATAAGACATAAAAAAAAAAGAAAAAGATATCAACATTTTACAGGTATTTACGCATATAAAGCATTTAATTCTAGTTATATATACACATATGTATTCACACGACATCATGATGCATCAACATGAGCCACATATGCATATGATGGTGTATCCATATTATATACTCTATATGGTACAACATCTTATGCAAATCTAGAACAATTTTTTCGTATGACTAACATGAATGCAAGTAGTTGAAATGTTGCTATTTTGATTTGTAGTTGCTTGATTTTGAAAACTAAAACTAAAACTAAACGCTTGACAAATCCGTAGTACTCGAGAGCGATAAGATATCTGAACTAAATTTTGATTTGCCTGTGAATGCCTGGAGTGAGATCTGACGGGAGATCGAGCCGAGAAAGCACCCAACTACAATTTCACAAATGCGACTTTCTTCTATTTACAGACATTTTATCTAGCGGATTTATTGGATGTGAGATGCACAGGCGTGGCCATAAGCATTATTATCATACGCTTAGCAATCAAAAAATTTATATATGTATATTGGATTGAGAAAGAGAGAGAGAGAGAGAGAGAGAGAGTTACAAGTAATTGTCCCAGTTCAAATTAAAGTCCACTCTTCTTCCAGTTGCAGTTGGGAAACGTGTTCTATAGTTCAAGTTTATACTTTGCATTTGTACCGTTTCTATCGTTATCGTTACAGTTATCGATCCTATCATAAGGATATATATGTGTATTTGAGGGCGCAATATTCGTTTAGCCAAATTATGGTTTATGTGCGTTTTATTGTATTATTGAGAAATAAATCCCGATTGATTGTTGTTATTTGAAAAAATTGTGAAAATTCTTTTCCTTTTTTAATTTACAAACGCGCATCCGTATGCAGAGCCAGGACGCCGTCAAAGTCCTCGGCGCCAATGTTAATGTAGCCATAGCCATTGCCATCCACAGTCACCGATTTGCCTGTACAGGCGCCATTCACCAGACTGCCGGATATGACGTCACAGTATTCGCCAGCTGGCAGGCAGGTTTGCAAATGCTCCGACAAATTGTACAGATTATTATTGAAGGCCACAAAGCCCTTGGAGCCGCGGCAGAAGGCAATCTGATTGTCACCATTGTCCCACCAGTTGGTCAAATCGGTGCCGCGCACGGTGTTCTTGAAGCCCACCATATTGTAGATCTGACGCCAGCGATGCTCACAGATCCAGCCGTTGGTGCAGGCCCCATCGGCATCGAATTCCGGCGAGATGATGCGCTCCTGGGCATCCTGCGGCGGCGCCTGATCGCGGTTATCAAAGCCAAACGAGCTCATCACCTGGCTGATGCCGTATGGGTAGGCCAAATGGAAGGCGGTGGCCATTTTGTACAGCTTGGGCGACTTGTAATTGAGCTCCTGCCCACCGTCACGCTGATTGTCATGATTGTCCACAAAGGTCAGTGCCTGGTCGGAAGGCAGGAAACCCCAATCGGTGCCCCAGCTTTGGAGCCATTTCAGCGCATTGTTGCCACGGAAAGCCTTGCCAATTTCCTCCGAGAAACGGAACTCGGTGACGGCGCCAAGGGGTGTGTACTCATCGCGTGAGACTGTCTCATGGCCATGATCGATGACCTCCTGGTAGATGAAAGGGCGGGCGTTGTTGGGGAAGCCGTGGTCGGTGTTCAGGTCACGCATGTTGCTGTAAATATACTATAAAAGGCAGTTTAGCCAAGAGTTCTAGCTCTAAGGACTCGCGATCTTACATCCAAATCGGCGGCAGCCATGTGCTTAGCTGCATCCACGCGGAAGCCAGCGACGCCGAGCGTAATTAGATGATCCAACACTTCGATGAGCTGCTTGCGCACGTGGTCACGGCTTTGATCCAGATCCTTGAGGCCCACCAGCTCGCATTGCTGCACTTGGAAGCGATCGTTCCAGTCGTATATCTCACAGCTGGGATGGAAATCCTGCGCTGTGTAGGGCACAGCCGGGAAGGACTTGCTGCTGGGCTCGGCCACAGAGCCGCCAGTGCCGTGGGCAGTGCCCACCCAGTCGCCGGACATGTGATTGAGCAGAACGTCAACATAGATGCGCACACCCACATCATTGCAGCGGCGCACCATGTCGGCGAATTCTAGTTCATTGCCGGAGCGTGTGATCAGCTTGTAGGAGATGGGCTGGTAGCGTTCCCACCATGGCCGACCCTCGGATATGATGTTCTCGGCAACGGGGCTCACCTGTACGCCCCCATAGCCATGCGGCGCCAGGAAATCCTCGCACTCCTGCGCAATGTCCGCCCATTTCCATTCAAACAGATGCACAATGGTGTTGCGATTGCCCCACCATTGTGGATTGTGCTGGGCCAGCGCCAAGCTGGCCAACATACAGACTAACGTTAACTTAAGCATGTCCCAAGAAACTGTGAATGGATGCCACGCGACACTCCACTTTTATAGTGGGACCTAATCTTATCATCACTTGACTGCGGGATTTGTTAGCTTCGTGTGGTACCAATTTACAGCCGGGCCAATCGCGAATATTATGCGAATTTATGACAGGCCCAACCAACTGGCGTGTTGACCTATGTTAATAATAGCGCAAGACATTACTCAGAAAAATTCCCTAAATGTAAAATAAAAACATTTTGATTTGTATTATGAACGGTTAAATGACAGCTGCAACTCACACGTATCTAATTACATTTATATTTACAATCTTTTCAATTATAAACACTCCAGAATCGAATCGAATATACTCTATACACTTCATACTCTGCATTTGTTTATTAAATGAGCTGATTCGCACACTTAAATTCACATATTTGGTAATTCAATGCATGTTTAATGTAATTTTTTACATATTTTAATATGTCTAAATTTGAAATATTTTGTTTATTTTGCAATTTTCCAGTACATTTAAAACAGCAAACGGCGCTAATCGAATTTGTGTTCGATGTCAATGTAATCGATAGTAGTAATCGTGTGTCTTGCGATATATTTATCACGCACAGCCTAAACGATATATCGAAACACAGTCAGTCAATCACAATTGCGGACCGCAAAAATCTAAACTTCAGTACGTATTGCCACTAACCAAAAAACATGCCGTTCTATCGCACAAATCATATGGAAGAGAGTAAGCCAAAGGAGTTTCCTGTAGTGTGAGCGATCAAAAGATGTCATATGTATATTTTACTCGCTCGTTGGACCAGATGCAAACCAATTTTTGGAGACCACCTATTTTACTCTGCATGTCCGGTCTATATGTTTTTTGGTTAGTGGTATTGCGTTTATAAAAGTGGTTTTTACGTTTTTTTTTTAACCAATATTGTTTTTAAGCCATAAATATATGTATTGTGAGTGAGTGGCAAACGAAGGCAACAATTTATTTCTTTGTTTAGTGTGCTTAAATGTGTGCTTAAGTTTAACCCCCTCAATGCAATGCGAAGCCAAATGTTGCTGTGCGGAGGAAATGTTGCTGAGCGGAGAAAATGTTGCCAAGGTAAGATCAATGTAGCTGAGTTGAATTTGTTGCAATGTTAAGCTGAATGTTGCAACTAAAATGTTGTAAAACCAAAATGTTGCTCTAAAATATTTGGCTAAAGTGTATTTAAATTTCGGCATTTAGGCGTTGATTTTCCGTGTAGTTTATAAAATTTCTGTAATTTATGGCTGATGTTTAAAGTGCTTATCAATAACCGCGCTGATTAGTTACGACCTGTGATATAGAAAACAGATTTCTGCTGATTGCTATTTTTGTCACCTGGCCAGCCAAAGTTCGGACGCCTGTGCAAGGTGTGTAACTTCTGCCGTGCTCGGCATTCCTGAACATAATTTCTGCGCAGTATAACCGTGAAATAGTAAATAATCTCCACCAGAGACAGCATGCTCATGCCCACAAATAGGCTGAATGCGCTGCCCAGATTTGCTGGCGGAAAAGAGATCGAGTTTTTACCCAGTCAAGTGTTATCCAAAACTTAACTTACAAACTAGGGTGACCATATTTGAGAGCAAATCCACGCGCACACGTCGATAAACTTGCGAATTGAGGAAAATGTGAACGATAGCATCGTTGTTCTCGATTCCGGTGCTGTAAAACGGACTGTTTATAGAAGATAGGATCAATCAGTACCGAACAGGTACTCACTAGAAAGGATCCACCACGGGCATATTCAGCATCAGAGCGAAGTTCGACATTTGCACATCGTAGTCAAAGTGCTCACAGGTTAAAGGACAATAGCACTGAGTCTTTTTTCTACGTGTTATGATATCGGCTATAGGGAAGTAAAGGGGTTAATTAATCTAAGCGATTGTGGGCTTTTGCTTAGTCGATACTGTGAGAGTAGAAAGTAATTGGCAAATACCTGTAATCTATATTGAACTACCTACGAAAATTATCCACCAGGCAGGGTATATCCCGAAAGGTGCAAACGCGATCCTTGGTGCGATTGAACTCAAAGAAGTAGGTGTGACATCCGCAGAGCTTGACCATATTTTTAGCGCGACAGTTGAGCTCACAGTTGGGATAAACATAATCCGAAAAATAGCGCAAACGGAACTCATGGCGAAAGACGCAGTTCCTCTGCGCAATGGTCAGCGCCTTGACCGCCTCCGAGCAGAAAGTCTCCACAACACGCAGCGTGGCAAAGGATTCCGTGTTGAGACCAAGAAACTTGCAATCGGCATGGGCGCTGGGAAAGGCGTCCGTCTCCTGGATGAGCAGCTTAAAGCCATGTGAATAGGATTGCAGTGCGTCATAGTTTTCGTCCTTGTAGCGCAGTATTAAAGATAGGCCATTGTCCAGACCACCAGCCGCCGCTTGGGCAGTAAAATTTAGGCTGATGGAACGGAAAGCATTGCTACACCATTCTAAAAGCGGTTTTTTGTAGGCTTACCCTTGCTGTCGCAGATTGAAGGAGCAGCAGTGCCCAAAGAAGGTCTTCGATAACTGAAAAAGCTGCGCGCAGTCCATAATGTCCCCATGATAGCGACAACGATGTAGTAGCTCATGGCAATCCCAACGCAGGCGATCCACAAACTGCACCATAGTCAAGTTATTATCCAGCAGCACAGACTCCATCAGCTCAATCTCTGCCGGCAAGAACCGGGCATCGTCCAGCATGAAGCCGCTAAAGATATGCAAATGCTGCAGCACATCCGCCACCTGAACGCTCTCCGGCAGCTTGCTAAATAAAAGTAGGAGTTGGATGTAGAGATTATGCAGTGCAGCATGTCTGCGTTGACCCACAGTGTCTCGATGTAAGCCTTGGACTTGTCCATGTTGAACAGCACCTCGGGACAGATGGTGATGGGCGGAAAGTAGAGCTTGCTTACGGGCGTGTGATCGCTCTCCACATTCATGCGAGTCGGACTGCTGCGATAGTCCACATAGAAGGTGTGCGTCATGACAATGGCGCATATGAACATCACCAGCGAGATGAGTATCCAGACAAAGTGCACCAGGCGATTCGTGTCCTTGTCGCGTGTGTACTTCAATCCGTGTATGCTGCTCGTGGCACAGAAATCGCACCAGGTGCGCCTCAGTGCGCCGTGCAGAGGCGAAATATTTGGATTGATTTGGTCCGAACTTAGTTCCTCCTCGTGAACCATTCTCTCTGGCAATTGCTGTACCTAGAATGCTAGAAGCCTCAACATATCTCTCCCCTTTTATATGCTGTTTAAGTGGGCGTGGTGATTGACAATTGACATTCGAACAACTGTGTATTAATATCCAATTAGTGTAGCGGGTGGCCCAGGACACCCTTAACGCCCTCATATGAAGAACTCCAAAGATCTGAGTCACCTAGTATTAAAATACTTATAGAAGTTCGATTGCCTAGATGCCGCTTATTTTTGATTCCCAAATTGTTTAACCTAAATAAAGCTGCCAATCGAGAGAAAATACATTTGTAAATTGGTTTTTAGCAGTTATAAATTTTATTTGCAGACTTTTGGTGTCTTTTTGCTTGTACGTTGAATCGTTTGCTTATACATAACGATATATGCATATAAATATATATGTATGTATAGTAAAGTATGTAATAATTATTTTATTCATGGTTCAACAATGTTATTACTTAATTCACTTTAATTGAATTGACATTATTTATGTAAAAAGAAAAACTAAACTCTCTGCTATCACAATAAGAAACTACGCATTTTAAATGGTAGACAATTGAATACCCTTCTCAGGCACTGCACTGCCAAAAATTGTTGAGCTACGTTAACAAAATGTGACTTTAATTTTATTTTGTGCTCGCTTTTTATTTTTAATTTTTGTTGTCTGACCGATTTTTGTCTTTTATACTTTCTGTATTTGGATTATGAGGCTGACGGCAATGCTAATGCGCTAATAACAACTTTTGGCTTAGAGTATAATGAACTAAAACAATAACTTAAACTAGCTTGTGTGTAGTGTAGTGTAATGGTAATTACTGCCTAGACTCGCTGGCTGTGATGGCCAGCGTCGCCGAATTGCCATTGCTTAGCCCTGCGGTTGGTGGGTTGTTCGTGCTGCTGGCACTGTTACCGTTCCCTAGACTCGGCTTGTGCTCATCGTTCGCCGGATTGTCCCAGAACTGACGATCGCCGGAGCCAAAGAGGTTGTAGAAGGTGCCGCAAATGATGTACACAAATGCGGCAATAAAGAACACAATCTGCCATTGTCCCATTGTTGGCTGCGGAATAAAAGGAATAAAAGGAGTAAACAATTAAAACGCTGTTCGAAGAGTCTGTTAAACGTCCCGTCCCACTCACCTTGTTGTTGATCAGATTGCCCGCAGCTATGGGCGCCAGCAGACCCGCCAGATTCGCTGAGCAATTCGTGATGGCCATGAGGAAACCAGCAAAACGCGGCGTCAGATCCAAGTGATTGATCTTAAAGCCAGAGTAGATGCCACCATTGAGGCCCACGCCAACGGTGAGAATTGCCAGAGTCAAGGCACGATCACAGCCCGTGTAGGAGGCGGCAATCAGAGCCAAACCGGGTCCATACTGACCAATACTGTTGATGATCTTTCTGGTGGCCGTCAGCGTAAAGCGCTTCGAAGTGATCATCCAATCCGCCACCACCGATATAAACATGGAGAAGAGCCACATGGCCAGATATGGCAGCGAGCTGAGCAGACCGTTGGATTTCAGGGAGAAACGCAACACCTGCTTCATGTATGTGGGCAGTTCCGTCATTAGCGTCTCGTAGCCATAGTTGTGGCCCATGTGGGCGAAGAGAATCGCATAGAAAGGCAGCGACTTGATAATGGCCTTGAACGGAATGGGAGGGCTCTAAGGGGGAGAAGGAGCAACAAATTAGATTTCTGAAGTGATTAACTAAATGAAGAGTTGATCTTACCTTGATCACATCTGTGCCCCACAGCGAATCGTTGATGTAACGCTTCTCACGCTCATCGATGCGCGGATGCGACGAGGGATCCTCATAGATCAG